AAATATAAAAATTTATTAATTTTTTTTAACTTTTTTAATTATTTTATTATATTAATCAGTTTTATAGATTATAAAAATATATCTAAAAGGTTTTAAAACGTTTAAAAATTATTTAAGAGACTAGAAAATATCCAAAGACTTGCTTGTTTAAAGAAATTATCTAAAAACTCAATCATTCAAACACTAAAATCGATTAGAATATTTTTTTTATATTTTTTCCAATCTAATTATAGGAAACTAGCAAAAAGAAAAAGAGGCAGTTATGAAATTTACACCTTTCATTCTTTTGGCTTTTTCATATTTACGTTCAACAAAGATTCAATTAGATTCACCACATCTGAGGCCGATTGTTTACATCAAACGTCCACGCCCTGCGCCGCCGTGACGTGCTGCTGAAGATCGTCGGAATAAATCTACTTCTATGGCTTACTCCCTCATCAGAACTTGAACTCGAACTAGACGACAACCCCCTCCTCCCTCCACCACCGAAACAAGAAAACATACCACGCCAAACTCGCCGCAATCCCCCACTCTCTCGATCAGCGTTTCCTCTTGAACCCCATGAGCTCCTCCATCGGCCACCATTAATGTTGAATCCACCATCCATCTCTGTAAAAACAACCGGAACCTCTCTCTCCCCACCTCTCCTACCCACCGCAAAGCCTCCGCCGGGCAGCCTCCATATCGTTAAACCCACCGCTTCATCATCGTTAATATGACCTCTGTTTGATCTCGAGTCTTGATTATCTGGGGGCAGCTCGTGGCGGCACACCGGGCATGAATTACGTAAAGTTAGCCATGGGAGGATGCAATCGGAATGGTATAAATGCTTGCAAGGCATTTCTTTAACTTCTGTTCCTAATTCGAATGGGTCTTTGCAAACAGCACAATGGGATTCTGTTGAGATGTGAATTTCTTGAATTTCAATCGTGGGAAGTGCTTCAATGGCTGCCTTCGACGCCGGTGGATTCTGGTTCATTCTCCCTAACCCATTCGCTTCAATTTGAGTCAGTTGATCCAATAACCGATCAAAACCAGAACCCAACAAAAACTCCGACATACTCACCGGTAACGGCCTTAAACCAGACCCAGCTCCATCGTCATAATACAACTCAAACCCACCACCGTTGATGGATTCAACCGTCACGGTTGCTTCCGGTGTGTTCCCGTTGCTACTGTGTCCACGGAGGACGATGACGGGATTAAACGGCGACCGATCACCTGTGTTCCTTCTATCACGCTGGAGCACCGGCGGGACAGGACTCGGTCCTGAGCTCTGTTGATCGTCCCCGACCATGTACATAGCCGCAGCAGGAAAACGTCTCCGGCGAGACTCCGAGAGTGTGGTTTCCGGTAACCGGGCGGGGCTCTCGATCTCTTCTATGAATCCACCGTTGCAATCAGGGCAAAATAAAGACGAATCTTGCCGGAGAGTCGGAACGGTGATGAATCGGCTGCATCTGTAGCACCAGTATGATGATGACGAAGACCCCGCCATGGACATCTGTAATCTATACAGACGTGAAGAAAATTATCCTTCAAAAACGTATTTCTTCAAAGAAAACCCAAATTGTTCGTCAGATGGCAAAGAAAAACACAAAATTCAAACCATCATCAAAAATCTAAAACGAAATAAAAACCCAAATCCCAAAACGACTGTTTTTTCAAAGAAAACTGAATAACATAATCTTTTTCTACAAAGAACCAATCTGTGGAGATGATTGGTGAACCCTAGACATAGAAAATACAATTCCCAGATTAGATGGCATACAAATCAAAATCCCCAAATCAAATGGAATGAACCCTAGATATGAGGGGTGAACTGGGTCGATGACAAATTGTGTATAAACGGCGGAATTGGGGGAGATTGAGATGGGAGATAGGAGACTATATGAAGGTGGAGGGATTGGGAGAGTCATCAAGGCTTGTTACGAATGGACACGTGGATCGAATCTAGAGGCATGAGTCATACATGAACGTTGGTGGAGCTTTTGTACAATAAAATTACACTTGCCTACCTTTGACTTTTAGTTAGGTAAATGTTTCCACTTTGTTTATGAGAATTGTTCAAAGTTTGTTCTTCTTGTATCACATTTTTTACATCTTTTAGGTTTTTTTGGAGCCGTTTACTAAACATTTACTTGATAAGTGTTTAACGGATAAATTTTCTTATCAGATAAATGTGAGAAGGGTCAATAATCTTATCGGGTAAGAGCGATGAGAATGATAGAGAGTCTTATACGGTAAGTGAAGATGACGACTCTTACCCAGGTAAGTGCTTACCCACTAAATTGTTGCATTCAATATGTTTTGATGTACTAAAATCTTGCGCGTCAAAATAAACCATAGTGTTGACACCTGTCGGTAAGCGCTTTCAGGGTAAGCAATTGGGTAAACGGCCCCTTAGTTTGCAAGGAAAGTAAAGGATTTAGGGAAATTTGGTATTCAATTCTATTGCAATATCGTATTTGATTTGCAGGATTGTGCGGATTTGATACCCTATGATTTTCTTCGAAACCCTCATACATAGAATTTTGAAATCTCATGGGCTGGTTAGGATTTCAAGGGATTTTGAAGCATTTGATATAATAATGTTTTATAATATGTTAAAAACGTTTGTTTTCCAACAATAAATTAATAATAAGGTAATTTAATTATTTTTATAGTTGTTTGTAATTTGTTTTTACAATTATTTATAAAGATTGGAATTCAATCTTATTTCAAATCTTAAAACCAAACACATCAAACCTTCCAAATCGAAATCCCTCCGATTCCAAATACTTTCACGAAATCTAAATCTCTCCAAACCATTTATCAAACCAAACGCCCCCTTAGGGGGTCTCTTTAGTTTAACAAAATGTTTTTAAATATTTGGATTTCGTTAAAGAAATTGAAATATCTGTTATATTTGGTTTGTATGATTTGAAATGGGATTGAGTTTCATTCTATTATGAATCTGGATTGGTTTGATTGGTTTACAGAATTTGGAATAATATTTAATTTAAAAAAAAACATTTGTATGTTTTATAAATAACTATGATAGATTTGATGAAAGAGGTTGAGTACTGATGTGATGTGAACAGTTGAAATCAATGAGATTTAGCGTTTAAATGATAGTCATCTTCAAGAGATCTTCAAATCTATCCATTGTGGGATTTTTGTTGAGATTGTGGGATTTCAAATCCAAGTTTTTCTTCAAACCAAACACATGATCGAAAAGGAATCTAATTCCAAATTCCACAAAACACTATCAAATCCCTCAAACCAAATGGCCCGTTAATCTAAGGAATTCATGTAAAACACTCGCATCTATATAAACGACATCAAACTAACATTAGTTGCCTTTCTTTTGGTGCTTTTATAGTTTCTTGGTTTTTTAACGCATTTTAGAAACTTCGATTATATAGTATTCCAGTTTTAGTAGTAATCGATGAGTCTAGGTACACTTATTGCTGTTAAAAAATGGTAATGTTAAAAATGTGTGAGCGAAAGTTTAATATTTATGGTAGATGAATTATATTCATAAAGAAAAATTCCTTTAAGAACCGACTAACCGTTCATAGAATATCACGTATCCCTCTTTATGATGAATATTCTTTATGAATAATAATTCATGATGAATCAAAAACGTTACTTATAATGAATAATACATTTATAATTTATATGTTACAACATTTATCATGAATAATATGTCCACATTACTTATAAATATGTATGATTTCGCGTTATAAACGATTCTCGAATTATTAATCAATTTTAGATTCTTAAACATGATTTATTATTGGAAAAATTGCATCAAAATGGAACCAACTTTAACCTGATTCCTATTTTGGGGAACCAACTTTCACTTGATTTTTATTTTGGAGAACCAACTTTCACCTGATTCCTATTTTGGGGAACCAACTTTCAAAATCGTCATTTTGG